CTCTCTCTCTCTCTCTCTCTCTCTTGCTTTCAATCTTGTTGGTATGCGTAAAGTCTCTGAGGATCCCGAACAACTCAATTTGACACTGGTTGATCTCTTGCTTTTTTTCTGTGATCATTTTGTCTTTCTGCTGTTTACAACTGTGCTAGGCTTGTCTACATGTCCGTTTTGTTTGTCCCTTTAATTTTCTCTCTTTCCTCCTCCCCTCTCTTCCGCCTTCCTTTTCCCTTTTCCTCATTCCTTCCTTTTGCTTTCATCGGTGTCCTTCCTTCCTTCCTTTCTGTTCCCCCCTCTGTGCGCCTGCGTAGCTGGCAACATCGTGTCATTTACAGTCGAGGCTTAGTCTCCACATCCCCTCCAGGCCTCTCTCTCTCTCTCTCTCCCCTCTCGGTTTGTATTTCTCTATGCTTTGGTCGTCCATCTCATCATTGCGAATACAGCCTGACTACAACCGTTGGAAGTAACTTGTTATCGCTGTTTGTGTCTATCGGTCTATGCTCCTCGCCCCCTCCCTCGCCCCCTCCCTCGCCCTCCTTATAGGTTTCTGTCTTCCCTGTCTGACCGTCTTAATGTCTGTCTGTCAGTCTATCCTTGTGAAATGTTGTGATCAGTTGCATCTCAACTCCTTCTCCTCACCCACCTTCTTCTTGCAGTTTCTATGTAAGTACGATATTCCTGGGTGATTATTTGAGTATGTGAGTGTGGCTCTTTTGATTTCTGCTGGAAATAGGCTTGCTTGATCCTGTGATTGCGTGAGGCCTGATCAGCGTGAGTGAGTGAGTGAGTGAGTGAGTTAGCGAGTGAGTGAGTGAGTGAGTGAGTGAGTGAGTGAGTGAGGGAGGGAGGGAGGGAGGGAGGGAGGCTTGATCATAGTGAGTGAGTGGGTGATGAAATGAGGCTTGATCAGAGTCGTGGCACATTTCTTGTTTTGTTCTGGAAATGCACATTTCTTGTTTTGTCCACTTGTTTCCCGAAAGATCATCTGCGACAATCAACTCCGGCAGCTCAAAGCCATAGCTGCATAGTGCTGGTCTGGTTGTGTACACAGAGGATGGGCATTTGTGGTCTCCCTGAGACTGACCGTGGTTAATACTTGTTAACAATGGAATCCACCTATGTTGTGATTACTGTGTACAGACTGACCAAATTTGCCTCTACTGTGTTTGCACCCTGTACTGCCTCCTCCATTGCTAATGTTTTTTTTTTTTTTTTTTTTTTTTTTTTTTTTTTTTTTTTTTGTTTCCCTCCCCCGCCTAAAACGGGGCAACGGCCTTGAGATATCATCATTTGAACTGAACGGCCCTAGGTAATTCAATTTGGGCGTATTTTTTTACTCATCTGCTTCATCTCTGCTTCGAGTGGAGTAGTTCGAACACAGGTCTGTACGTCAACAGTTATCCAGCCAGCCAGGAGACACCCCTGTGGAGATGAGAGGAGGGTGATAATCGTTAGGGATAAACACTGAGGTGGGAATGTGGGAGTAGGGATGCGCAAGGGAGAAATAATGAGAGTGGAAGGTAGGGAGGGAGTCTCTCATAAGGAAAAGGGAACTCTACAGAAGGCCATCTGGATAAAGAAATGGCCGACTACCGAGGATGACTGTCATACGTCTACCTTCTTCCCCCCGAATACAACGTACGGTCATTATAGCTGTAGCTAGACTGAAAGATGCCTAAAAAAACACAGCTATAATGACCGTACGTTGCATTCGGGGGAAGAAGGTAGGTACGTTGCATTCGGGGGAAGAAGGTAGCATCCGACCTGTACAGCAACCTGTACTTACAAAAAGAAAAGAAAAGAAAAGAAAAGAAAAGAAAAGAGAAAGAAAGGTTTCTTTCAGTAAAGCAAGTTCTAAATGCACAGAGTGTCCTTCCCGACATCCGTTAAAAAAGAACGATACACAAAAATTAAACATGACCCCTGGACAGAACAAACAATGTATTCCAGCTAACCTTCACTGAGGACCGGTCGGACAGAACAAACAATGTATTCCAGCTGACCTTCACTGAGGACCGGTCGGCTGGCGAGGCCCAGCCGCACGCCATGGACTACCGTCTTCCGCCGAACATAACGCACCCTAAAACTGAATGTATCCAAGCTATATTTCCGGCCAGATACCGCCAAAATGAGGGTGCGTTGTGTTCGGGGGAAGACGGTAGGGCAGTGTGCCAACTGAACTAGGCCAGTGAGTGACATTGCTACTGTGTTCTTTGGCTACGTTGGCAAACTTTCATGGCCTTCCTGAGAGCATCATCCGTCATTCTCTGCACATGACAGATATTTGAACTTATTTCATAAATTCTGCGTTTTGAAGTGTCTCTTCTCCTTATTTTGGCATGATGAACAGCTACATCATTGGTTTCCGCCCACCAAACCGATGGGTATACATAGGAGGGGGTGGTTGGTACTATCATTCCAAGGAATGCTTCCAAAGAAGGTACCCTCATCCTCATAGACATGGGGGGGCCCGTTCCGCCCACCAAACCGATGGGCATACAGAGGCGGGGGTGGTTGGTACTATCCTTCCAAGGAATGCTTCCAAAGAAGGTACCCTCATCCTCCTAGACATGGGGGGGACCACTCACTGCCACTTAGAAATTTTGGAAACTCCGAGACACTTCTTTCAAATATTCATATTTACCAGCAAACCGAAAGAAGTACGGATGGGAAAAGGAAAAGGAAAAGGAAAAGGAAAAGGAAACCCTACATGTGTAGGTAGGTTGCACTGCTTCCCAAGGACAAGTGCATTTCGAAATGGATGGTGTCCGGTCGTTTGTGAAATGCTCAAGCAGATGATGCCACGTTAGCCTCTCCACTTCTTCTCTCTCATTCTTTGTCATTGTTCTGCTGTGCTGGATCGTTGTGATCGACATCATGTCTCTTGGACATGACTGTTGTAGTGTTTCCGAAGTGAGTTCTTGTGTTTATGCTTCTGCTTCTGCTGTGCTGGATCTTTGTGCTGGATCTTTGTGCTGGATCTTTGTGCTGGATCTTTGTGAACGAATCATGCTCTTCCCTGATCTTTGTGCTGGATCTTTGTGCTGGATCTTTGTGAACGAATCATGCTCTTCCCTTGGAAATGACTAAGGAAGGAAGGAGGGAGTTTTTCTGAAGTGAGTTTGTGTGGTTATGCTTCGGGTTCAGATATGGTGAGATGGTGGATGTTAATCTTGTGCGAGACAGAGACACGGGGAAGTCAAGAGGGTTTGCCTTTTTGGCATACGCCGATCAGCGTAGTACCATTCTCGCCGTAGGTGGGTGTTGTTCCTGTGTTTCGTATACCCTTGTTGGCTTCCCTGATTGCTTCCTTCAGGTTCAATTATCTCAATACAAAAGTTATCACATCTGTAATTAGTTAATTCCAGTACAAATAAATACAGAGCTCCAAGCATCATGTCATTTACGGTTTACGCGATTTGATTCCTTTTCTCTGTCGAGGCTTTGATGTTCTTCAGCACACTTGCTTGTTCTCCGTCACTTTGCTCCCTCTCTGGGCAGAGTCTGAAGCTGTTACCCCTAACCTGGGGCAGATCCTTCCAAGCATAATGTTCTTCCCTCCTGGTCCCTCACCTTCCACCCTTTTACCATCC